AAACTAAATCTGTCATTAAAACTTCTCACAAAGAACTCCAAGACCAGTCGGCATCACCGCTGAATTCTAACAATCATTTAAGGAGGAAATGATGCAAACATCATTCTTCCAGAGAAAAGGACAAGAGCACACTCACCAGCTCATTAGGCCAGCAGAGCCTTAGTTTCCCAACCTGGCAAGGACAATGGGAGAGAGGAAATCACATGCCCACCTCACTCACAAACAACAGTGCAAAGACTCCAAGTGAAATTTGAGCAAACAAGTACAGCATGATAGACAGGTTGGATGTACTGTAGGAATGAAATTTGATTTAATATTAGAAAAGCAACCAAGAGGCCAGGCGCAGTGGTTGTTCACACCTGTAGTTCTAGCTACTTGGGAGGCTGGAACAGGATCACTTGAGCCCAGGAGTGCCAGGTCGCTGTGAGCTGGGATGTCACAGCACTCTAGTCTGGCCCATAGAGTGAGACTCTAAAAAAAAATGTTCTTGCTCTACAAAGCTCTATAAATCTTGGTGCTGGAGGTCTTAGGCAATGAAGAGAGATGAGCTACAGGGACAGACCAGATTAAGTAATACGGTCCTTATTTACCCATGAACATCCAAATGATCTACAGATAAAGTATATGGATTGAAAAGTGCATTCAGGTTTGGTGCCTGTAGCTCAGTGGTTAGGGCACTGGCCACATATACCATGGCAGGTGCATTCGAACTGGCCTGGGCCAGCTAACAACGACAACTGCCACAAAAAATAGCTTAGCGTTGTGGCAGGTGCCTGTAGTCCCAGCTACTTGGGAGGCTGAGACAAGAGGATCACTTGAGCCCAAGAGTTTGAGTTGCTGTGAGCTGTGATGCCACAGCACTCTAGTGAGGGCAAGAAAGTGAGACTCTATCTCAAAAAAGAAAAGTGAGTTCAGGGCGGTGCCTGTGGCTCAAAGGAGTAGGGGCCAGCCTCATATGCCAGAGGTGGCAGGTTCAAACCCAGCCCTGGCCAAAAACTACAAAAAAAAAAGAGTTCAGCAAGGTTGCTAGATTTAAGGTATTCAGAAATCAATTCTATTTCTATATATATTTAAAAGAAAAACAGTATCAAAATATCAATGCTCAGGAACAGGCGTAATAAGAGGTGAGCAGCTCTCCAGTGTGGAAAGACATGCAGCATATTGATAAGACCAAAGAAGCGCTTAAGTCCCCTAAATAAAAGGAAACGGCATGTCATGGATTTTGGGCATCTCCACGTTGAAACATGTGCCTCCTCCCTCAGAAATGTTATCTAAAGAATGAATGAATCTTAATCCAAGTCCCAAAAGATTTTTTTCATGAACTTGATAAACACTGACTTTTTTTTTTTTTTTTTTTTTTTTGAGACAGAGCCTCAAGTTGTCATCCTGGGTAGAGTTTTGTGGCATCATAGCTCACAGCAAACTCCAACTCCTGGGCTTAAGCAATTCTCCTGCCTCCACCTCCCTAGTCACTGGGATTATAGGCACCCACCACAATGCCCAGCTATTTTTTGGTTGCAGCTGTCATTGTTGTTTGGTGGGCTTGGGCTGATTCGAACCCACCAGCTCATGAGTATGTGGCTGGTGCCTTAGCTGCTTGAGCCACAGCGCTGAGCCAACACTGACATTTTATATGTAAGGCAGAGGGATGAGAAAGCACAGGAAAAGAACAAGAACAAGGAGTCTTGTCTGCTTGGTGCTGGGCTGGTTGCACAGCAGTGAAGCTTAGTGTCAGGATTGCTGTGTGGTAGACAAAGTCCTGTGTGACACACCTACAGACAGGGACCCTGAGCTGCAACAGAGGTGCCACTGCAGAGCCTCTCAACACTGTGTACCTTGAAAATGGCGAACTTCACATCACACACAAAAATCTAATAAAGCATCTCAAAAATAACACAGCAGATTGTTCTTGTCTCAGGGAGGGAAAGATTTCTTCAGTAGGGCAAAAAAAAGCACTAATCATAAGAGGAAATATTGGTAAAATGACTACATTAAAATTGAATAAGTCTGTTTATCAAAGCATAATCTTCAATGAATGAAAACAGAAATCAAGACTGCAAGAAGGTATCTGCAACCCACAAAGGTCTGTGTAGGTTGGATGGTGTCCCCCCACTCCCAAAATATGTGCAAATCCTAGTTCCTGGTATATATGAATGTAATCCTACTTGGAAATAAGATTTTTGCAAATACAGTCACATTAAGGCAAGATCATGCTGAACTAGGTTGGGCTCTAAGCCAGTGACTGCTGTCCAGGAGAATGCCAGGGCAAACATCAGAATGAGGCACCGGAAACTGGAGGAAGGTGGAAGAACGCTCCCTGCAGGCTTTGGAGGGAGAAGGGCCCTGCTAACACCATGATTTTGGACTTGTTGCCTCCTAACTATGAACTATGGAAGAATAAATTTCTGTTGTTTTAGGCCACCCAGTTGTGGCAACTGGTGATAGCAGCTCTAGGAAGGCCAGGTGACCACCAACCAGTTAGGGGATCAATTTCTTGTCCTGTAGCCCCTAGGCCCTATTGGGGGTCCCAGGTGTGGGCAGCCCCACCCAATGGGAGGAGAGCCATTATTGTGCAGTCTTCACCAGAGAAGACTCGCTAGAGGCTGCCAAGTGAGTACACAGGTAGGTAGTATCTCTATGAAGAAAAGGGTATGTGGGGGTGGGATGGGAGGGTGTGTGTACCTAAAGGGTGGGAAAGGTGTGTTTGTGTGGATGTCTGTGTGTGGAAGTGTGAGTGCGTGGCAGTGTGTGTGGGGGAACTGTGCGTGTGGGCGGAGCCAGGTAGGGAAGCTCCCCGGTAGGGGTGCGGAAGGAAAGGAAGAGCAGGTGGCGGCCCCTCCTGGACCCCCAGCCCCCAGCCCACCTGTGCTCTTTCCTCGAGCTCTGTGCTGGGACCCTGCGCCCTGGGCCCCTCCGTTGCTGTCGCATGTGCCCTCCCGCCCAGGCCTGGCTAGGAGGCTCCTCTTCAGGCGGGTCGCCAAGGAAGGGTGGCGCGGGAAAATTGAAGAGACCCGAGCTCTTGGAGGACAGACAGAAAAGTGCCCCAGTGGAAGACCAAAAAGCGCAGCAGGGCCGCAAAAGAAACTTGAGGGTAGTGACCGCAGGCCCGGCACAGCCGGGGTGGGGGTGGGGTTAAGTGCCAGCAGGAGGTGGGGTTGGGGGTCCGCATGGAACACAAGGCAAACCCTGGCTCTCCACAGACCGGAGCGTGCGAGGGCGAGGGAGTCTGTCCCTTCGGGAACACCCGCCAGTCTCTTTTACTGGGGCCAGCAGACAGGCTTTCCCCCCACCCGCAGGAGGCCCCTCTCCCCGAGGAGCGCCTCCTCCCGGCCGGGAACCAATTCCGACTCCAAGGAGCAGAGCCGAGCTCAGGGCCATTTGACGTTATTCCGGGTTTCTATGGCAACAGAGACAGGCCTCTGAAGCTGCGTCTCCGCGAGGACCAGAGAGAGGATCCAGGCCCGTGCCTCAGGCAGAATGTGGGGGGGCGCTGTATGTGGCCCCCAACACTCCTTTCCTTTGAGGTCAGGCACCCGCTGAAGGCTGGCTGGGCTCACACACACGACAGACTCAGAGCTCCGCGGAGTTAGGGAGCTCTCTCCGCCCCCGCATGCCGCATTCCCGTCTTCTGCGGGTCCTCTGCTGCCCGCTCGCCACGCACTCCTGGCTGGGGGAGGCAGTGCGCGCCCCCTCTCTGGAGGCTGGAGACACAGGATGCTGACGCAGTGGGGGCTGCAGACCCTTATGCAGTGGAGGCTGCAGACCCTTAGCTCAGGTTCTCCGGCGCTCAGCCTGAGGTCACGTCACAGGCTGGCTTGTACGCACACCCCCTACCTTGCGATGCTGCGTCACGCAGAGAGGCGCGCGCTCTTGTGCGCGGGCGTGGGCTCAGGAGTGCCGGGCATGAGCACAGGGCGCGCGCGCAACTGCGGATGGCTGAGGTTCGCCGCGTCCCTATCTGGCCCCTAGAGCCTCCCGGCCCCAGGCCGCCCACCCCTTGCCACCACTCGCAGCTTGACGCAGGATCAAGGGCCCCTGAACCGGGATTTCACCCCAGCTCTGCCGGGCCAAGAGGAACCCCCGGGCGAAACTGCTCCCAGCTTCCCGCCTCCTAGCCACCTGTGGCCTCGCATCCGGAGCCTGCGGCAGGTGGTTTCGCAGACTCGCCCACTACCCGCCTCCTGGCCGTCTTCTGTCTGTCACGCAGCCCCCCACCCAAGCCTCCCACCGCGATGCAAGTGAAGATTCCTCTGTGCTCTGGCCCGGCGCCCCCCTTATCAATCCTGTCCCCGGTTGCAGACAGGTGAAGGGGATCTGGGGTCCCGAACCCCTGCCCACCTCCTACTCGGGCTTTCTCAGACCTGAAGGGGTAGAGCCAGCTCACAGGGAAAGGGCTGTATTCACCACGGTAGGGTCTGCCGATGTCCAGCACACCCAGCAGCTCCCCTGCAGCTGCTTTCTGCCCAAGATAGGGAATCCGAGCAGCACTTCAGGTCTGCGCAACGCCGGAATCCAAGAACCCTCCTGAACGTCCAGGCCACCGGGCCCCCCTGACGTCCTGGGCAGCCTGGGGACAACTCTCCTCCTGTCAGCAGGGTCGGAGACCCCAGTGGCAGAAGCCAGCTGTGGCTTTACCGGCCCTGGAGCCACCGCAATGCTCTTGTACAGGCGCCGCGCACTCAGCTCACACCCTTCCCGCACACCTTCACTCACGCACGCACTCGAGCCCCTCGCCCCCACACCAAGCAGAAATGTGGAAACGTCTCACAGGCGGTTCCAACGGGCAGCTGCTGCAGGACGCGGCCGAGGGAGGACAAGGATGCGGATGTGGATGCGGAGGATGCGGTTCCAGACGCTTCGCAGCCAGGGGGGGCGGGGGAGGGGCGCATCCAGACCGAGGCTGCAGTTGCCATGGAGACGCGGGGGGGAGGAGGGGCCGCAGCTCTCCCGCTGCCTCGAGCCCCTCCCCCAGCTTCCGCAGTAGAAGCAGCTGTCAGACCCCTGCCTTGGCCACCAGCCTCACACCCACACCCCTGACACACATCCCTCTGACACCCCAACACACCCCTGACACACTTCCCTGCACTGACACCCCAACACATACCCTCTAACATACCTCTTACATGCACGCCTCACACACTAACCTCACGTGCACAAGTGACATACACTCTTCATACACACTAACCACGTATATCTCATACACATGCACCCTTACACACTCACACCACCTCACTGCCCAGGGGGACAGACAGCCCTGTGAGGCCTGGCTGCTCCCTGGTGCAGGGTCTCCTGGTTTGCATGCTCCAGCTTCACCTCACCACCACTCCTTTTGGGCAGCTGGGGTTAGAACTCACCCAGTGGCTCTGACTCCTTTCTCGTGGGTCAGGGTATGAATCTCCTGCGCCTCCCTAGGGGTCAGCCTTACCTGTCTTGGGTGCCTGATGTCCTGGCCCCCAAACGAAGGGGCCTTGCCGAGCCAGTGAGTGCTGAGCTCTGGCGGTCTCTGCCGGCCTGACACCGGGTCTTCGGGACACCTGGACACGTGCTCAGAGTCAGGGTTCTCTCTGGATAGTATCCAGTCTATGAATGTACCACGTGTCTGCTGGTCCATTTGAATTGTCGCTGTTTTGTCTATTATTTATAATGTTGCTGTGAACCCTCTTCACGTCTTTGGTGAATGTGAGCTTTCATTTCTTTTGGCCAGATGCTGAGGAGTAGAATTGCCCAGCTGGATGGTACATTTACGTTTAACTTTAAAAAATGCTAAAATGTCTTTGCCAAAGTGGCTGCAACATTTTACATTTCTGCCAGCAATGTGTGAGAGTTTCGCTTTCTCCGCGACTTCATCACGTTTGTTATTGTCTTTTCTCACCATTGCCATCTGGTAGCCTAGGCTGCCATAACAAATTGCCACAGAAGGGGTGGTTTAAGCAACAGAAATCTGGGTACATGTCCGATCTATTAGTATAGAGTATAAATGTCTTAACACAATAATTAAAGAAATGAGATGAAGTATATATTAACCAGTATGATGTAAGCATTCCTAATTCTATATGAAATCAGCACATTGTACCCCATAAATGCATTAATATATACATGATCTATGTGTTTATGATTTAATAAAAAAATAAATAAAACAGAGAGAATAAAAGACTGAAAAAAAATAAACAACAGAAATCTGAGATCAAGGCATCTGGCTTGCCAGGGGCCACCTTCTCCTTGTGTCCTCACAGGGTCTTCCCTTTACACATCTTTGTCCTCATCTCCTCTTATGAGGACACCAGTCAGGTTGAATTAGGACCCACCCTAATTATCTCATTTTACCTTAATTACTTCTTTAAAAACTCTCTCTTGGCTCGGCGCAGAGAGCCGATCACAGTGGTTACGGCGCCAGCCACATACACTGAAGGTGGTGGGTTTGAACCCGGCCCAGGCCAGCTAAAACAACTGCAAAAAAAAAAAAAAATAGCTGGGCATTGTGGTGGGCGCCTGTAGTCCCAGCTACTTGGGAGGCTGAGGCAAGAGAATTGCTTAAGCCCAAGAGTTGGAAGTTGCTGTAAGCTGTGACTCCATAGCACTCTACTAGGGGCAACATAGTAAGACTCTTGTCTCAAAAAATAAAATAAAATAAAATAAAATAAAAACCCTTTCTCATTTAACTTGATTACTTTTGAAAAAACAAACAATATACCCCCATAGTCACACATGGTGGGGTTAGGACTTCAGCATATGAATTTAGGGGGATACCACTCAGGTCATAACACTGTCCTGGCCCTGACTGTAGTGACCCCCCACTGTGGTCCAAATCCACCTCACCCTGCTATGATGATTTTGAGCACCTTTTCCTGCTATAATAGCCATGTGTTTGTCTTCTTTGGTGAAATATCAGTTCAAATATTATGAATGTTTTTCACTTGGGTTGTTTGTATTTTTATTATTGAATTGTAAGAGTTCTTTATGTATTCCAGATACAAGTTCTTTTCTTTATTTAAAACATTTAATTGACAGAGACCACGTATAGTCAAGATATACAATGTGGTGATTTAATGATAATTGCATAATGATTACTACAATCAAATTAGTTAACACACCCATCACCATCTGTTCTGTGTATTAGATTCCCCAAAACTTGTTTAACTTATAACTTGAAGTTGATACTCCTTGACCAACATCTGCCATTTCCTCTTGCCCCCCACCTCACAAGCCGCCCCTGGGCAACAGCCCTTCTACTCTGCTTCTGTGAGTTCACAGATTCCACGTGCAAGCGAGATCACACAATATCTGTCCTTCTGTGCCTACCTCATTTCACTTAGCATAATGTCCTCAAGATTAACCAGTGTTGTGGCATGTGTCAGAATTTCCTTCCTTTTAAAGGCCGAATAGCTTTCCATTGTGTATACATACCAAATTTTCTTTCTCTATTCTTCCATTGATGGGCACTTCTTGGCTATTGTGAATAATACTTCAGTGAACATGAGGGTACAGATATCTAAGAAATAGGGTTGCTAGCTAGTATGGTAGTCATATTTCTGATTTCTTACAATCAGCCAATTTATATTTGCACCTTCTTTCCACCCTCTTACCCACATTTGTTGTCTACTGTGTTTTTGATAATAGCATCCTAATAGGTGTGAGGTGGTATCTCATGATTTTGATTTACATTTCTCTAATGATTAATGATGTTAAGCACTTTTCCATATATCTGTTGGTCATTCATATATCTTATTTGGAAAAATGTCTGCTTAAGTCCTTTGTCCTTTTTCAAATTGGATTATTTGTTTTGCTTAAAGTTGTGTGAGTTCCTTATATACTTTGGCTGTTAGCCCCTTATCAGATATATGGTTTGCAAATATTTTATCCCATTTCATGGGTTGCGTTTTCAAACTTTGTTTCCTTTTGCTGTGCAGAATCTCTTTAGTTTGATGTGATTCCACAGGTTTATTTTTGCCTTTGTGGCTTGTGCTTGGGGTGTTATATAAAAAAATAATTATTAAGACCAATGTCCAGGAGCTGCTCCTCTGGGTTTTCTTTCAGCAGTTTCATGGTTTT